CAAGAAGAACCTCTCCCCCCCCCCCCCCCTTCATTGTAAATACAGAGCTTAAGGAGCCCTGTTATTAAAGCATGCAAGAAAGTAAATGATACAGAAACAAAGGCACTCTGAATCGCAACATAACTTAATAAGCATTAGATGGATTTTACAACAGCATGCTCAAGTACTCACCAATTTCCATAATCAAAATCAAATGCTATAGTAATCTCTGCTCCCTTTGGAATGTTATGGATGGAGTAAATGTAAAGATGAATTGTTCCATCTTCTATTACATGCCTCACCTATATTCAAGAGAACATTATTATATTATCATGAATCAAGTTGGGCTTTTTTGTTTGTCAGGTTTTTTTTGTTTGTTTGTTTTTTGTGGGTTTTTCTGTTGTTTTTTCATTGTTTTGTGCTCCCTCACTCGGCCGGACGAGGACCTGCCGTGGGGGCGGAGGGGGACAGTCAGGGTGATGCCACCAATCCTTCTTCCCCCTCCTCCCCCCCCCCTTTTTGTTTTTTGCCCCCCCCCCCCCCCCCCAAAGTACCTCTATAGTAATTGTAGGGATTATTCAAATGATACACTGGGAAACTCAAGGAGAAGGGAACTTCTACGTAAATAAAACCTAATTTATGTATATGCTCACCTCCGCATTTGGCGTACATGAACGCCTGATGAATCGAGCTTCATTTCCAAAAGTCCTCGCATCAACACACATTTCTAGTCCATGGAATTTGGAATAAAACAAGACAAATGGGTATGGCCTGAAAAAGATACAAGAAAAACAGAGTTTTATCATGTATAAAGATGCCAAATATCACTTATTTCTCAGATTATTTAGCGGTATGATTCTGTTTGGTATGATACACCAAATTTGTGGGTTAATCTGAGAATGACACATCTGTATTTAAGATTTGTGATTCCAACTGGTACATTCTCCAAATGTATTCTCAGAATATCAAAAGTTTGAATTACAGCCCAGAATATAATTCTTCTGCATAGACTCTAAAGGGAGGAACAGTAACAGGGCAAGAACTAGACATGCAAGACATAGGGTTAACGTTCTTCATCTTTCTTAAACTTTTCTTATGGCAGGTCCTAAAATAAAACTCAGGTAGAAATTTGGTGCCTCATTGAATCATCTAAAAAAACAGAATAAAAACAACACCTCCACATCCCTGCTAACACCTCCAGTTATCACTAGCACCCAACCCTCCCAAAGAAAGGGGCATCTACTTTGCCAAGATGTGCTCTAAGTTGTGCTATTACAAGTGCCAGGGAACCCTTCCATCTTTACTGAGCAAAAAGCTCTGTGTCCTCTCCTCCAACAGGCTTCCTGCAATTTCTCAAGCAGATGTGTCTGTGCAGAGAATGGCAGAACTGAAAACGGTCCACAGGAAGAAGGTCGCAGTCACACATCATTCAGTAACTTAACCTAGAAAACTTTGGCAGTAAAACGGCCCAAAGTTGATCCGATTCCATTCTTGGCCTGATGGACTTAAAATCTATTTCTCTCACAAAAGAGAGAAACAGATTTGCCGTTACTTTCTGAGTAGAAATTGCCAATCTCTGGTTTAAGGTGCACAACTACCCAACTGAGAATGCAGAATCCTGTAATCAGGAAAGAACAAAGTAAGAGGAAACTACCTCTTGAACAGATCCCTAAGGACACTCAGAAGAGAAGGGGGAAATCAGATTCCAATTGCAATTATTTTCAACCAGACAACAGCAAAACACAAGGTACTGCTGGTAACTAAGAGCCACCTGTACTTGAGGCAAGAGTTCAGCAAAACAACATTTTAACAGTCACCTTATTAAAACATTTGGAATAAACAAACCTTTTAAAGAAATATCCATTAGCTTCAAATTGTTCTCTCAGCATGAACTTTCCTCTGTATTCAATAATAAGTGCATCAGGAGGCAAGTCTTTGGCAGCTTTTAAAATTTTCTTGTTTTTTTGCACGTAACTCTATAAAGACAAAAGTTAATTTATGAAGTATCATTTTCTACCATTTTTCTATTAATTTTAACAGCAGATTATACATTCACAGCCACTAAACAATTCTATGAACTAAAACATCCTCCTTTTTGTAATGAAACCTCACGCTGGTTTTGATCAAACTGTCCTGTTCCTCTACCAACATAACTAGTTATGAATTTAGATTCAAGTAATACTTCAGCCCTAGTTCTCCAGCACATGGCTGAAAACCAACAAATTCATGTTCTCACAATTCAAATACTACATCCCTCAGTGCACTTAACTCTCAACACCACTAGGACAAATTGCTGCAATGTTTTGCATAGCACTTCTAAAAGGCATCAACTCCTTTGAACAAAACAAAACATGCAAACGTAAAAGGACATTCATGATCCATTCAAGGTAACAGAACAGGAAAATAACAAAATAGTAATAAAAAAGAATACCAAGAGAGTCTCCAAATTTCTTATTTCCATATCTTTAGTCGGAAGGATGGCTTTTAATTAAAAACCAATACATACCCTGAAAATTAGTGAACTCACACCTCTCATAACTGTCATCTTGAATCAAATAGGAAGTAGCCTCTACGTAGGCAAAAGGCTCTGTAAGCAGGGATATTCCTCTAAGGAGGGTGTCCCATATGCCATGATGGTCTTTGAGGAAAAGAAGCAAAGATGCTTCCATTAATCTGCTACAGTGACTACTTCTCCTCAAGACTTCTGCTGTGAAATGCTAAGGTCTGTTATACGGACCTGATTTTAAGCCGGGTATTAACTGATGTTAAGGATAGAAAAAAGACATTGCACAATTTCTTTATAAACTAGAAATTGACAAAGCTTGTTACCTCTACTGGTGGTTTGAAAATCAGATTGCTGGTGCTGACTTCTTTTTTGTCATTTCCATTGCCTAATCTCAGAGCTATTTTTTGCGCCTCTCTCTGGACACCCTCACTGTACTGGTTATTATTTGCTTCTTCATAACGATCCATCCATGCCTTGATTTTAGTTTCCCATCCAAAGTTTGAACTGTCGGTAGGATCAATCTCTGGAGCTGAGCCCTAAAAATTAAAGTAAGCGACCAGATGTTACAAGGTAAAAAGAAGATATTAAAATAAAACAGTAAGTCTACAAAAAGCAAAATGAAGAGCAAAGGTATGCCACTGATTTAAGGGCTGGGGTAGTTTTTGGTTTTTTGGGTTTTTAAGGAAGTCGGTACAAAATTATGCATTATTTAAAAGCACTGTGTTCAATACAGTAGCATTACATTTGTCCTTGTATGAATTTTATTTCATAAATATCACCCAAGTTCAGGAATACATTCCCCCTTCAGTATGGATTCTAGCTTTTAGTCACATGAGGATGGAGACTGACATTACTTCCTCCCACAACTGCACTGCATCATGAATCTATGAGTGCAGAAGCTGGAGCGTCAGATCTCCCTTCCTACTAAACTTTTGTGGACATATGCAAATATAAAGAACTCCAGCTTCCATCCTGTAATACATAGATTTCATTTGCCCCTTTCAACTTCAAGGGTCATGCTGTATCTTTTTTCCGCTTCACATCACTAAACTTTACTCATCCTACACCTACTACATTAAGGTTGTGACTCTACTGTTACAGGCTTTGCACAGATCATTTCTCTCCCCCTATCTGTTCCTCACTAAACAATTTTCTTCTGCAATGCTTCAGATCCTTTCACTTTTAAAGAAAGTGCCGTTGTACCTCCAGACCTCACAAGCAGCAGCCAGGCTGCAGCCAACCAATGCTCCTTATGGACAGCAGCAGCCAACCAACGCTCCCTTTTCTATCCACCTGAGCAGAGACACTATTAAACATTAATAAAACAGCAAGCAGTTCAGCAAATCAATTTACCTCTTACCGATTACATTTCTTTTGTGCATCAAGAGAACCATATACACAACAGTACTAAAAAAAGGTGTGAGGCTAAGAAAACCATGAAAACACGCAATGGAACCTTACAAACACCATACTCAAAAATCACAAAATAAAGATTTTCTTCCCCAAGTCTGTCTGCGCTATTGGCAAGTCACACCTTATACATTTGAAGTATAAATTGTTCCCCACTTGTTCTTATATATTCCAGGGATGAAAAAAAAACTATTGGAAATACCTAGTTTTCAGACCATGCATATTTTTATCCCACAGAAAATTTAAAGAGTGCTGTAACACGTAGATCTTACAAAGCGGACATCTCAACACAATTCCTTAAGACTCACTCGTGCTAGTGTAGCGAGTCCCACCAGATGAATACATGGGGTTCAACACAGCTTAAACTCATTTAAAGTTTTAAAAGTTAACTTTCAAATGCAATATAGTAATTTCTTTCTTTTGCTGCTTAGATCTGTGAAAAGCTGGAGCTACTAAGTTAAAATGAGGTCTGCACTAAGTTTTACTCCCTTGCATAGCACAAACAAGCCCCAATTCCTCCACTGCCTCTTGAAAACCAAGTATTCTCAGAATAAAAATTTACACCACGTTATCTCAGTTAATTTACAGGACAAAAATCTAGTGCTCATACCTTATTTTAAAATTACTACAATGCATATGCAGTACATTAGTTATCAAGAGTATTTTACTGCTTAACATATAGCCCCAACTGCACTCTTGATGCTTCATGTTGTATCAAGTAATGTACAATTAAGGTTTAAAACAAAAACCAAACAAAAATCTCATTACCTTTACTCGTGAAGATTTCCTGGATCCTTCTCGAAATGCCTGAAACAACATTACATAGAATATTACATAATATACATTAAGAATACAAAATTCTTTGGAGGAAAAACAAAATCTCTTAAGGAATTCAAAATTACCAACAAACTGACAGCTTTCCAATGTGGACCATTATCAGTAAGACACGCAAGATGATGACAAAAGAACAAACTACGTTGAAATCTCAAGACAGCAGTATGTTACATCTTACAAAACAGAATTTAAAAGTCAATTCAGCATTCCAAACTAAGTGCATACTGTATGTCAGAGCAAGTAGACCAAGTACCCTCACCTTTCTCCCATATGACATGACTCTCTAGAACTTCAGAATTTAAGACAAAGTAACTGAAAACTTACCCACAGAATACCCCACACTTATCAAGCAAATCTGTAAATTGCACACATCCTTCACTACACTATTTGTGGAAAGAGGGGAGGGGGAAGCAGGTGTCACAGATGTCCTATAATGTTAACTTTTGAAAGTAGTTTGTCATTCTACAGCAATATCTCCTTCTTTGCATCACCTCAGACAATGTTGGGAGACAACAGAAGGTACCAAGTTTATATTCAGAACCATTCGTTGAAAAGGAAACATTTTAATCAAGATTTCCAAAAAGATACTGGTGACTAATTCTGACATCTAGTTTTAAAGGACAAAATTTTCATCCAAGCCAGTAAAACTGAACTGCAGAAAGGAACTTCTTAGCTTAGGAAATTCCATGTACTTTACTTCTTCACATGTATTATATTTGTCTTCACATATATTGTATTGTTCACAGCTGTAGCTAAATAATATAATGTCAGTACCCTGTTTACCGAAGTAGTTTAGTACCTAATTTTCTGACAGCCTACTTCCACACAATTTCAATTAAAATACATGCACATAAAGTCACATCAGGACAGCTTAAAGCAAACATTTCTGATCTTAAAACAATCCACAACCAAAGACTTTCAGACACATTCTTATTTGGGTATCTGAAGTCTGTTCTGCCCCACCTCTGACTACATCAGGTGGTCCAGTAAATGCGATTCCTCCTTACAAATTCTGTCTCAATTATAAAATTGAACTTTCATGACTAGTACATATTAACTGGAATTGGGAAAAGGTTGGGGGGAGGGGGGATGCAAGGGTAAACGGCAGGGAAGATTGTATCATTTACCCAGAATACTACATTTCAATCTAAACACAGGTAGTAAAATATTATTACTAACAATAAGTCTAATTTTTCAAACCACTGTCTCTTGATAAATCACACAGCTATAATTTACAACAGAGATATAAAAAGAGAAATTACATTTACTTACTTTTTTACATTTTGCTATGTTCTGTTCTTTTTCTCCACTTTTTTTCCTTTTCTTATCATTGACTTTTGTAACTCTTGTAGCAGTTAAAGTAATTGTAGTTGGTGTGTGTTGAAAAGCAGTATACAGTTCCACAGGAACCTCATCACCACTCTCTGTTGCGCTGGTATCCCCATCTTTAAAACAAAGAATATTCTTTAGTCAAATACTGTAGAAAGAACATTCACTAGTTACTCTACACCTGCTTTCAAAACACAAAAATGGGTACTGACAAATGCTTCAAGCATTCAAATGCCAAATTCACCAGCAGTTGCAACAGCCTAAAAATGAATGACCAATGAGAAGCTGGTAATTAACAGATGTTTGTAATACCAGTAAGAGAAAGATACCAGATTATTTCTGTTTTCTGAATGGAATTGTATCATCATATTCAATTATAAGCAAAATTAGAATCAGAACAAAAATGGTAAAAAAATTATTTGTTAACTTGTTCACTTATATATAGCTTTTACTGGTAATAGGGCTTTAGGATTCTCTCAGATGACTGTATTCTAGAGGGGATTAAAATTAATGAGTACCCAGCATTTCTTGTGAAGCCCTATTAATCAGTCATGTGTAAGTTGTAATTAACTATTTCAACTGCGATTTGCAGTGTCAAGTACCTTTTTCAGGGTAAATATGTCAATTTAGCCAAAAGCCTTCTCCCCTCAAAACACCTTAACAGTACCATTCTGCTACTCAGGGAAGAGAAAAAGAGAAGTCTATTTTACCTGTTAAAACAAGATCATATACAAACTGACAGAATTTTTTTCCTTTGTGCTGTGCACCCGCAGACCTAAACGCCAAGCCTGAAATTTAGCATTCATCAGCATTTATGTCAGACAAATACATTTCCTGACCTGAAACAGGATTACCCTAGTTCTGTCAAGATGAAAGGCTGTGAAGTATGGGAAGGATTGGAAGAGAGATGGTGCACAGAGATAGGAGACTACTGTTCACATGGGCTCAGTACAGACTTCTTGGATTTTAGCAGCTTTTACATATATTCTTCCTTCAGTAAATCTACTCCACACTAAGCAAGACTTCTTCTGAAACTGCACCGAAGCAGGCTTTACAAATACTTAATATGAGAGCAAATAAAGCATTTGTTCTGAGCTCAGAAGGACATCGCCTTAATCAGTGCACTCAACAGTCCTAATTCTTGAAACCTTCTTTACTAAATAAAGAACTCCAGCTACTGGTTACTCTGATTTTTCTTGCTTAACAGGATTCTTCTGTGCATAATAAGCAATCTAATTTTACCATCTTGGTTGTTCTTTTGAACAATTTATTAGGCACATAATTACACTTTATATATTAAGAGCTGATGAAGTTCTATGAATTTGTTTACATCTATGCTGGGACTATTTTCTGAACTAGCATAAATAAAACACATAGAAGAAATGTCTAATCAAAGAAGAATGAATAGCAGAATAACCAATGACTGAGAAATGAAAACCCAAGGGCCTCTTGAAACTGTCAACATTTGTCATCCATACACTAGTGCCTACAGAATTGTTAATCAAAGGCAAACACCTCCACCCGACCCCAGCCTCAACCCCCCCAAAAAACCCCCATAAAACACTGTCTTCCTTTGGGAAGCAACATTTCAATATTGTTGCCTACACTGCGCCCCAACTTACTGTAAAGAATAATTACCTCAACCTAACATATAATTACACAGAGTTGTTTTGAGACACTCCTTCCTAACCTACATAACCTGCTTTCACTTTGAAGAGCCTTAGTAAAGCACACTAAAGGAAGATTTTGCATCTTGGAAGGCAAGATACAAACTCTTCAAATTTCACAAGAAGTTATGGGCCAGAGTCATTTCCCCATAAGCAGCAAGTGATTTCATCAGCACTAGTTTCAAGACCAGACAGCTTGAAGCAACATTCTTGAACAAGTTACACATCTAGATACTACATCCTAAAAAATAAACGTAAAAAACTTATATAACACTAAATTAAAGGTAAAATCTCTTCAGTTCCTGCTAAGATTTTGACTCCCTCTCCTCCCTGAAGTTTATAGTAAATGATTAGATAATGTGGCTAAAAGTCATCTCTTAAGATTTGAACTCAGCATTAACTTCCCCTGTCCTGTATGTAAATTCAAGTTCATCCTTACAATATCATCATACCACTTAATAAGCTCATTAACTCAAATTATAAATGTACTTGTTCTATTATTTTAATAGATTCAGAAACATTTAATTTTAAACTCTACCAAAAAAAAAAGACAAATCTTAAGAGATGACTTTAACTCAGCATTAACTTCCCCTGTCCTGTATGTAAATTCAAGTTCATCCTTACAATATCATCATACCACTTAATAAGCTCATTAACTCAAATTATAAATGTACTTGTTCTATTATTTTAATAGATTCAGAAACATTTAATTTTAAACTCTACCAAAAAAAAAAGTGTACTATCTAGCAGGTCAGCCTATAAAGTTTGGTTCTGTTAAAATGAAAACAGGCAAAACAAAAGCATGATTGTAGTGTTCTAAGTAAGTTATTAATGACTTAAGGCAGCTTAGCACTGGACAGCAGAAAGTGCAACTGCACCAAGAAGCACTATTAAACCACATACACTTCTAGGCCACACCACACACTTCAGAATTTTCTGAGGGCGTATGAAGTAGGCAGGACGACCTTATCCACATGGTGTTTTTTAAAGAAATCCTAACACACACACACACTTGCACATACCCCAATACTTCAGAGACATGATTTGAAAGTAAAACACGTTAAATTTAGGAGGGTGACTTCTGTAATACTTTGAAGTATCACTTGCCAATCAAGAAACCTATGACACATTTTGGTAATGGCTGGACAGAACTCCTGAAAACTAGGCTGGCTGAGTTGTGAACTTCTATAAACAGTAGGAGAGCTATTTTCATAAAATATAGAGACTGAAATAGGCACTTACACTACAAGCCTTATCTAGTTACCAAAGGCCAAAAAAAAAATATGCCAAAACACAATATAATTGTATTACCTAAGCTTAGCAACTTTTCTTGTTGTCAAAACAAAACCAAAAACATAAAACATACCAACACACACACCCAAATCAGAACTAGGATTCCCTCTCAAAACTATGCTAGAATATTTTAAATCTCAATTATGTAATTCTTAGAGCCAGGAATATCACCTGCAAGGGATTAGTTTTAGAAGATTAGTATAAGGATATGAGTCGCCTATACTACAAAGGAAAAAATGACAGAGCTGTGAAATAATTTTTTTCCAGAAAGCGACTTAGTAACCCTCTCTTGTCATAGAAGATGAAACCTGAACCTTTTCCATCTTGTCTTCAGTAACTTACTCAAAGTAGTCATTATTATAAAACCTACATTCATTATTATGGAACTTTAACAATATTCAAACAGATTGAATTGTTCCACAATGATAAGAAAAAAAGCAGTGCTGACATCCTTTAATAAACACATGGAACTGCAACAATTCTGATATGATGTTATCTTACTAACGAAAAAGTCAAGTAAAAGGCACTGATTTACTGAACCTTATATGCAGAAGGCTATCAAAATTGCAGGAACTCTTTACACACTCTTAAGTCTATACAGTTGATATATACTTATTTTGTAACCTTTACCAAGGAAAGAACTTTAAACTTTACTCACCTGACATATTTTCCCTTTTCCTTCGTTGCAACAGCACTGCCCTTTCTTTATCTAAATTCCTGAAATTAAAAAATAAATTTTATTCCACCCTTCACACTAATGCATTAATATATCTAAGTACTGAAACACACCTTTTCATAGTTACCATTTTACATTGACTATTACAGAATCAACTGACTCGTTGAACTATCAGATACTTAGAAAAACATCAGTTGTGCACCATCCAGTTCCATTTTAATGCAAAACACATACAAGTATCAAAATCACTTGAAAACATAATGAAACTTGATAACTGAGAAGAGACAGTTGGTCCATAGATTACAGATAAGCAGGAACTAAACTATTTTCCCACAGATTCTTCAAAACAATTGTCACAATAAAAAACAAATATTCTATGACAACAAGGTCCAAGCTATTTTTCAGAAATAAAAGAATCATTTATTGGTAATTAAAGTGTTCTGAACACGCATGTCTTTTATTCACTGTTTAATTAACACTCTGCAACATAAGTAATGGGTAGCATTTTATACTCTACATCACAGGACAACTGTGATGACAGCCAGATATAATCTCCCTACCACAGAGTCAGAACAAAATGCCCTCCTTGTCATGTCATACGACTTCAAGTTTGGGGGGGGGGAGAGGGGAAGTGCACATGAATACTCATTCCAGAGCAAAAAATCCTCTGAGTGAGCACTGCAGCTGCAGCGTATTGGAATGGGGTCATAAAACCAAAAGACACCAAGAAATATTGGTGGGGCAGCTGACCTGAAAACACTGCTGCTAAGGGTTCTCAATGTTTAACCATCATGAAATGAAATAAGCAATGGATTGTCTATGTACTGGTCAGCCCGAAAAAGGATCCAGGAATCACTGCAATGCCAATAAGCATTTCAAGGGTTCATCCCTGCTGCCTAGTGAGGTAAAACAACTACCATGAGCAAGAGAACACAGACTAATAAGATCATCTGCATCATAAATGTAGCTCCTTTAACTAGGATTAGGAACTAGTTCCTGGAGTTAGGAACTAACTCCAGGATTGTGCTACACAGTCTGTGCTTCATCTGTTGGTTGTTCCACTACCTTCTCTTTTTTATTCTCTACTTGTTCTAGTTATTTAGATTTCAAAATCAAACGAACTACTCACCTTGGTTGACAACGTTCACACAGATATATGTCAGGAATATTCTGCCTGTCAATCCCCATGCAGTCAATGTGCTGCCAGACACTTAAAACAAAAAAAAAAAAAAAGAAAAAAACCATGTTTTTATTTTAAGTACCATTTTTTTAATTGTGTGCATAATATACACACACACACACAGACACAGAGAGCGAGCCATTCTTTTTTTCATCATGATCTTTACTCAGATTGAATACTGCCTAAAACTACATCTCAATCACTGTCTTCGCCACCACTCTGCTAGCTGATTTTCTATTCCACTGATCACTGTAATTCCAATCTTGTGGCTGTCTCCTGTTGTCTCTCTGCTTCTTTAGACTCATTTTCCCTCTTGGAAATTTTCCTCTAACACTGGAAATAAAAAATGGTAAATTATCACAATAGAGAACAAGATAGAGAAAATTACCCTCAGCAACAAGACTTATGCTTTATGTAGTAACAGGAGTTTTGTTTTTAAACAAAGATTACACGTCCTTATAGAAAAATATATATTATTTTTATTCTTATATAAAAATCTATATATACACAAATATATGGTTTTATTTACATATATTTTAATAGAACATGTTTTTATACACACATCATGACTGGTAGCACTGTTGTGCAGCACAGCAAGAGCTTCAACTGCTTCCTGCAGTCAGGGATGAGCAGCTGCTTGCTAGACTGAAGGCTAACCTAGGACAGTGGTTTATGCCCATCCCCACATTGCTAGAAGGAACTAGGACACAGAAATCATTGCTGTCCTCCCACTTGTGAATTTATCACAACTTTCTCCAACTCTTCACAGAGAATCTCTTCTTCAAAAGAAGCAGACTCTACCTAACTGGAGGCTGCCTACAGCTCCACTGCTGAAAGAATATATAAATAAATTTTCAAAATAAGGGAAAAGGTTATCAGAATCAAGGACCATCAAAAATTAATAACAAGCTTGTTACGTAAGCAGACAGAAGAATGCAGCTTAAATTAAGGTTTTAATTAGCTGTAACAATAATTTTAGAAATACACAACAATTTAATAAATTCAGAGCATTCATTAAGTGTACTGAATGCAAAAATACAGGCTAATACTGATTAAATCCAGAAACATGAGATTTGTTTTCTTCTGCTAAGTTTATCGGCTCTAAAAATTTTTAAGCTCATTTTTTCAAGTTCAAGTATTTAATAGCAACTACTTATTTTATTATGATCAAGTAGGAGTTTAAGCATGAACACAGGAGTTCAAACACTTAACTTCAGCTTCTCCAACAAAAACCTAGGTTAGTCTTCTCATAGTTATTAAAATGCTTAAAACTGTCATTTGAAAACGAAGAGTTCTTATCAGAAAGACCATGCACAGATATGAGATATTTGAGAATTTTCTGTCAGATTATTTTGCATCCTGCAAGTTACGGGATTTACATATATGTAATTTACTGAGATGCTTTATTACTCAGTACATGCAGACTAAGAACCAAACCCTAGGGCTTTATTCCACCATATTAACAAGTAACTTGGACAAAATAGCAAAGAGATATCCTTTTTAGAGGGGAGAAACATACCCTTATTAAGCAACAATGCACAAGTAACTGCATGAACAAATTAATGGAGTAGTCAAGACAGACTGGAATAAGGCATAAAATACTCACTGGTCTTAACCAACTACCTTGCCTGTTAGAAAGTCATACAACCTTCAAACACTGTTTTGATGGAAGGAAATTTCCTATGACTCAACACAATTAAAACACCATTTAGTTACAATTATTTTCAGTACAGCTTTTAGTTTTAAGTCATTTTTACCTTTCAAATTAATTTAATATTCGTTACCTGCACTTGTCACAACAGATCATATATCCATCATCATGTGTAAAGCCACAAATGCATCTGGTAATATCAGTTCCATAGCTTCCATCCTCTGACGTGCTGATGGTAGTAGCACTGGAGGTTTCATCAAAGTTGGGAGTGGTAAATATGCCTACTTCATTCTTGCTTATAAGCACTGATGGAGGAGGAGAAGCTGGAGGCGTTGGAGGAGGCCGAGCACCATAGTTATGGTCCTAGATTTTTGTAGAAAGAGAAGTTACAGCTCTTAAGTGTTCATACACTGATGGTTATTTAAGCCAAAGTATAAGAGTTCACTTTATAAAACCTTCAGAGACTTATTTTTTGGTAATAGTTTAAAATTTTGTCATTGCTCATTCTTGATCTTTATCTTCTCAATTATGTTTTACATTTAAGTGCACTATGTTCTATTCTAATCAACCATCTTCAGTCAAATTACCCAACTCCCAATAAGACATAAAAGTGTAACCATGAATCAGAGTTTTTCCAGTCAAGAACATCAGATTTTACATAATCTATTTTATAAAGAATACTTAGCGTGAAACTTACTGCATAGGGCAAACCAATGTAACTGTGTGAATGCGAGCTGCTGGTATACAACTGGTGCGGATAACTGTTCGATTTTTCAACTACCACAGGGCTAGCTTCTACAGATTCTGGTCTGCAAGGCAAAAGACAGAATAATAATAAATACAAATAATATGTAATTTATGTTATTACAGATACTTGTTGCACAACTTCTAATTAATTGCCTGATGATCTTGTTTAAAGGTGCATACAAAAGGGGGGGAACACCAGACTCACACCCCCCCCAGTTACTCCCTCATCCAAAAAAAAAAAGGAAAGCCAACCCTCTTCTCTCATTTAAAATGAAGTTTCCAGAGCAGCAGAAAACGTATGCCTCTGTAGTTACAAAATTTTTCTCAAAAAAAGTGCACATTGAATCACGTGCAAAAGGGGGACAGAAAAGCATGTCACACACTTTGTCAGGGAGCCATCAGTCTGTATGCCCAAGCGTACAGAGTTGTAACAGAAGGTGTGCAAAGGACTCCAGCTGAATGATGGCAGAGGGTAGAAGCGGTAATTCAGAGCTGCAAACAGACAGAGCCCTCAGCCCTGCGCGGCCAACGCTATTCGATTGTGCAGCGACACCTAGCGGCAGCGTGAGTGCACCACCCGCGGCCGCCCAGCCAAGCAGGGCTGTTCCTACACACAGAAATCAAAGTTCGCAAGAGGTTTTGTAGTGCAAGGCAGTCCCTTCTTCAGTATACAATCTAAGGTCTATATGCACTGAACCGCAACATGAAAGACAGGAAAGATAACAGAATACTAAAGTGCAAGAAATTATACCTTCATTATCTTTCCTGAGCAGTTACATTAATGCATGCAAGCATATATATACTCTCACGACTGAGACACTTTTATTCAATAACCTGTGGCTTCCTCATTGCACTATGATTCAATCACACCAGGACAACCTTCAGATGAACCCAGAGTTACCTAGTTGCATTCTGGGCTTTTCTCTTTGGTTGACTGGCTTTAATACATTGAAAGGAATAGCAAAACATCAATATCTAAAACTGAAGTGACTTTTTACTTGCCTCACAAATCAAGCCTGGTTCATTTGTCTAATTTGAGTTATATTATACTTGAAGTCTATTATCAATCATAAATACCTTAATTCCTTGAACTAACTTTTTAAATAAAGTTTGTTTTACTGAACCTTTTAGCTCAAGTGGGTATCACTCTTTTTTTCTTAGACATCAAGATATTAGGCAGAGGCTCTTCTGTTATGCCAAGTGATACTAGTTTAATCTAAAAGGATACCAGCAACTTCTCATTTTGGTAACATTTTTTTCTCAGAATATAATTAATCATTAGCTTTCTGAAAACACCACACAGTATTTTCATGTCTACTTGAAAGTGTCCTACTAACATTTTTGGTGGCCCATTTTTCCCTTAGGTTTTCCCCATGTGAGGTTATCACGTGATAAAATTGTTTAAAAAGAATCACTAGTTAAGAACACCAGTGGGTGAAGACTTTAGTTTCTACAGTCCAAAGAAAAAAAAAGTCTTTTTAAGAACATCTATGTCTCTAACAGTCACCAGTTGCACTTTTTTAGGTACCGCACGAACACGTGAGTGCACAAATCACGTGACAGGCTAACATTAGAACTACAAGTTCAGACCAGCATGAGACAAAAACCAACTCTGACAACACCTGTCCTTCATTACCTCATAAACCCAGAAGATTCCTCATTTACTCTCTTAGACCACTTCTCAACTTGAAAACAATTTCGTTCTGTTTGTTGGAAATTATCTTCTATAGGCAGCTAAAAATTTGCCAGGTTAAAACCCACCAAAGTTGCAAAAGGTGTGCCTTTCCAACACATTTGCCTTTACCTCTTTACTGACATAACATATTTGTGTGGTCATCATTCACCACTAGTGTCACCCAGTTAATCCTTCTGACAATACAGCAATCAAAATGGCAATAAATGAGGCATTGATTATCCATCCATCACGGCTAGGGCAAAAACTAACTTATCTTTCTCCAGTTCAAGAGGGTTCTGATCACTGTATTGCTTCTACTGCTATTTACTGAATGGGCAAAGCTGTAGCACCATTATTCTTACCCACTACTTGCTCAACCTAAGTCTCATTTGCTTAGGTTGGAAAATACTCAGTTTTCCTAACAGGAAAGCTTACTGATACAGGACAGGGAGGGGAATTCAGGTACAATCCATCTTTCAGCAATGCCACAATTAACTTAGGAGAGTTTCCTTCGCTAAATAATAAATATTACCATGACGTAAATACCAGCTACTTCAACATGGGAACATTCAATGAAAGATAACAGAATGGAAGTGTCCTAAAAAGAGAAGTAATGCCTATTTCAACAACTGACTACAAAAATTAAGAAGTTATTCTAAATCTCCTGCAAAGTATGAGGCAAGACAATACACCCTACTCCCTAAATCCATTTCTACCTGCTCTAGCAGCTAATAAAGAGAACCAAATTTAACATTTAGAGGCGTAACAGCTGTGAGAAGCAGTAGCATTAAGCTTCCAAAAGCAAGATACAACAAACACATTTCTCCACAACTATTTTAATACTCATGAAACAGATTGAGAGTACATGGTTAAAGAGGAAAAAGCTCGATTTTACTTGAGCAAGGACAGCCAGGAAACGGATGGGAGAAAATCAGGTGAAACACAAAGGCAATTAAATCTTTGTATTACTTTTTTTTTTTTTGATGCAAAGACAAAATTGGAGCAGAATCAGTTTTCAGCAAAGCTTTTTTCAAATGCTTATCCACAGGAGCCACAGATACTTTTTTACATTTTAACAGATTCTCACCAGAGCTTTGAATGTAACTGTTACTGTTCTATTTATCCACTCAAATGCTACAGCAGGGTGGCAAACAGCGTGGAGAAGACTGAGAAATATGGGGAGGAGGTGGTGGAATGTTCACTGAAGCTAGAAGTTAATCATCTTAGGTTTGCTTTACAGTCAACAGGAAAGTGATATTCATCCCATAAGCAGTACAAAATGAGTATAATTTCTCCACAGAACTACAGACAACCTTTTAACTTTGGCAGACAGGTCTGCCAACACTCTAATATGCCCCTCACCAAGCTCCTTGTTACCCCTCCTCTGCCCACTATGTGGATAGTCCTGACCTTAAACAGAAAGCACACCCTCTATACTATTACTTGTCAAAAGGTCAAGGCCACCTTCCCAAATGGGCATCTCAGAATTAGAGAGTTTTGTGATTAAATACCTCTTCATAAAATATTTAGTTGTACAGCAAATTAAAGCATGAGATGCCACTTCATTTAAAAATAAATTTTTAAATTTTTTTTTTTTACTCAAGTGGCAGGGCTCAAGTAGTTTGGTACTACCCATTGTATTATAGACACACACACCCCAAGTTGCACCATTGGCATTGTTACAGGAATCCCAAAAAGCAAGTTTTCAGGAAGAAAACGTGTAAGCGTTTAGATCAGAAAGAACGCTATGAGGTTTGCCTTGCTTTTCAATGTAAGCCAGTTCTTTAACAGATTGAGGTAATAAGCTTGTCAGTCTTCTGAGCACATCACATTTTTAGCTTCACCTCAAAAAACTGCACCCTTAATGTCTAAGGGACATATTTATCATATTTATAGTTTTCATCAAAACGGAAATGTTTGTATTACAATACAGTGTATTTGAAGTTAGACCAAAATCCTAATATTATGCCCTAAAATAGACAAATATTACCATGATAAACTGATCATGATGTTTTGCTAAAATGTCATATTTATTTGTTAAGTGTTATGATTAGCAATTCAAAACTGTGCAAAATATTCACAAGGAGCAAAATTAAAAGCACCACAAGAAGAGCTTCCCCCATGCTCTTGGGCTGCAATGATTTCAGACATTCCTGTAACTTGAAAACAGGAACATACTATTTTCTCAAACAAATAAGAAATATTTTTTTTAATATTTTTTAAAAATCTTCAAATTTTCATTCTGCAAATGAAACAACTCATATTCTGGGTCATTTCTGACTGTTCTTATTTAAAAGTACAATGCTAACTGAAAATATTCTGCACATGGCCAGCAGATGGCATTGGTGATGAATTAAATAAGCAACACATGAGAACAGATAGTTTACAAAAACTCAGTCCCTACAAGCTTATAGTTAACCTATATCAAGGAAATCAACTATCAACCATTCTAAGCTGTAGGCAGTTCTTCTTTAAAAAGTCTCGTCTCCCCAAAACCACTTCTTTCAAATACTGTTTTGTTCCTGATGGTGCAATAATGGAGGAAAAAAAACAAAGGAGGGCTGGGGGGAGAGGAAGGGGAGGGGGAAGAGTGAGTAGCTTTTGACTAACACCTGAAATAGTCAGTCCTTAAAATCTGGGGCCATTTACCACTTCTATTAAGATGTAGCTAATTCAAATGGAAAAAAAAAAAAAAATCTCACTTAAAGGAAAATTTCCAAAAGCAGGTGGGTATCCAAGCTTTAGGTTATGAAAACTTAATAGTACTTCCTGAAAACATTTATCAAAACTCCAAATGAAACCTCTTGTTCCCAAGCACACTTCAGCAGCAGCAAACTGCCATACACCAGTTTGAAAGGCCTAATTTTCAAGGAGTTCAGGTTTGTTTTCCATTTGCACCAACACACCTGAGCAGTATCTGGCTGAAAGTCAGCTCAGATACTATATTTTGTATGAAAACCAGTTATTTTTTATTTTCAAGACGATTTATCTAACCATACACATCTCATGGGCTTCACTACCTAGACAACAAAGAACTGAGTGCTGCTTCTCTGCCAGAGTGAGTTCTGCTACTTAAGCATCTCGTAGCAGGCCCTACATGTATAGGCTGGCCCGATGCTGTCTGTAGGAACTGGCAAGCTTCCCATTGCCCTAAAATACTTTTAAAAAAAAAAAAAAACAAACCCACACCTATTTCAACAGCAGTAATGGGAGAGTAGGTTTTTATTTTCTAAGACTACGGAAGAAAATATCATGAACGCTTGGATATTGAGCTCAATAAAATGATCTATATACTGTGGTTAACAGGTTCATTATACAGGCATTGTCTCTAAAACATATGCAGATATTAAAACCAGTAGAGCAGTACCATCAATGTATTTCCCAATGCATAGACTAGCTTAGAACATGAGTATAAGCTAACACTCTCTAAAGTCAGGAAGATCATTTTCAACTTTCCAAAATGGCTGGCTCTGCTTACTATTTTGAGGTCTTTAACAGTAAGTAGTCACGCATATTCATTTTCAGTAACCCATTTACAAATAAAGGCAAAATATTTATGCATTCTGACTACTATGGCACTACGAACTGGAGAGCCCACTGAGGTGCCAGTAACAGAAGAGACATACTATTTCACCAAATTTTTCATTTTTAAGTTGTTCTCCACATAGGTATTTGCTACTGTTATTAAAATAATACTGCGATGTGCAATCACATAAACTACCCACCTTTTTGACAGGCTTAACCCTTAGTCTGAAGCACAAGGAAAAATCCCTGAGCACTAAGAGATGGCACTAAGCTAAGAGTGTTTTCCTGGGCTCCTTCTCCTACATAATCAGGTTGGCCATTCCCCCATTCTTGTGTTTGCTCATGCTTCAGCAACTGATGAAGCAATATCAGACCTGTCAGTAACAGTGAAGAATTTCCAACTCCGCCCTCTTGGGAAAGTCCCAGAACTTGCTCAAAGACAATCTACGATTGCTGTCAATACAATCATATCCAACATGCTACTCTCTGGAAGACAACATACAAAAACTAGGTAAATCACACAGATGGTGACAGAAAAGGTTTACAACTGTATCTGCTGGTAGGCTAGGGACACGCCTTCATGTCACACTTCTTTAGTGACATGGCTTTTAAATCAGTGTTAGCAAAATCATGCAACTACACCTCTTTCAGGCTAAGAACAGCAGAGACAACACGAGTCAATCTAACTGGTAACAGTCACTTAACATCTGAGGAAAAGCAGTTTCTAACTGGGTCGCCATGCCATAGTTATCAAGCAAATAACACACTGTGAACTCTATCTTGTTTATATTAACAACTATATTTATTTATTTTAGTCTCAGCATGGCATGCTGTGTCTGTAAGGAACGTCAGCAACCTCAGGAATCATGACCTTCTTCGAACATAAAAGAAATCCACAGGAAAAGATAATGAAGACAGCTGTGAACGGGTCACTCAAGTTAAAAAAATTTTCTGCACCAAGGAAACTAGTACTCATGATGAGATCAACAAAACAACTTTACAAATTTAATGTGACAAAAAGCTTCAAATTGCAAATTTTGTTTTCTTCAGATAAAGGGTGCAAAGCTAGAATAGCCTCATATGTAATTGAAGGCAGAGGAGAGAAACACCCCCTTGAACAGCTGTTCGAGAGTTGTGCTCACAGTGTGTAACATTTCTTTCAAAGTTTGGAAGAAAAGCCATTTGCTTCTTAAAGGCAGTGGTATTACTTCACACACTCTCAAGCAAAGGCTGTGTGTAAACTAAATTCATGTTAGTTATTTTATGCACCTGTTAAATGAAGGACCACTTTATGAAGTTTATTTTTGACTTATGAAAGACTTCAAGCATCTATGTAAAGTAAGTCTAGTCTATTGTTTCAGTATCTAAAACAAACAAATGTATTTTTGTGGTAACCAAAGACAGGGGCAGTCTTCAACGTCACTACAGAAATGCTAAGAGGAAGGCAAAGAGTGGTTAAAAAATAAATAAATCAAGAACCAATTTAATATAAATGATTAATTTAATATTTTTTGTTAGATCCAAGAAATGAACTGGGTTCCCCCCCCCGCATATGCAAAGAAGTATACAAAATTCACTGTGGCTTACACAAACTCTCTTGACCTTTAACATCCCCTTTAGTATCTTTTGACACCCATCTCTTCCTAAAAAACTCACCTGCCATATATTCTACTAATGTAAAAGCAACTAAGAAAACAGGGGGAAAAAACCAATCCAGATACTATTCTGAAATACACAGAGCTCAGTGGCGTCACATACCCATGGTGCACTGTTAACAGCTGTAACACCACTGTGGTCATTTAACTCTCAAAGAAGAAAGTTGCCCAAAACGTTATTTGTCTTCTCATAGCCAGGTCAGTAAGACACACACAGAAAGACATTTGTTTGACAGGAAAAATCTCCAGTCAGTGATTAACTATACCTAAACTCTAGTCTACTAATACTCTACAGATTCAGATGCCACTAAAGGAAAAACAAAAAAAAACCAAACCAAAAACACACACACCACAACAAACCACCAACCCCCAAAACCCACCAAAAAACCCCAAACCGATCCCCTTCCCCAAAACACCCCACCTCCTCCCCAGAAACAAACCTAAACCACACAAACCCCAGGCATTAACTATGCTTCTTTCATGCAAAGGAAGAGTTTCTTGAATCAGAATTTCATGGGCTCTTTGTAATACTTTACACACTGTTATCCACAGCTACTAACTGAAATGAGTGATTAACAAGTCAATTTCTCCTAATTTTTCAGTATTATGTACTTTTGTGAAGACATGGTATTACACAATTAAGCTAGGCCTTCAGCTTTCAAAAATAAAGGCACCCGTGTTTAATTACTACCACTTCCTTTTTCCATTTACCATGCCAAACGAATCTACCTTTCTAACACGGGAAATCAAAAATATTTTTTTTAAATATAGTTAAAAGGAAACTGAGATGGTAAAATATTTTAAGTATGAAAAGCAAACCACACAACATCTGTATTTCTCAGTCTGATAAGCAAAAAAAGCATCTGTAGAACAGGTTAGCATTTCTCCTTTGCCCTCCCTGAAGAGGAAGAAACTAACTTAAGAATAAAGTAGCAGTTACTAATTTAAGTAATTAAAGATTCTATAAAACTAAAGAGACTCCCAAGTCCTCTCCAACTGTATTCAAAAATACTAGGGAAAAAAAATAAAAACAATAAAAAGGTAAGAAAACTTACAAATTACATTCACATACTTACTCTGAGCCTGCAGCCATTTCCAAATAAGAAGTATCTGCTGTGTCAACCCCCAATGGGATCACTATGCTCATGACGTTCGTTTCTGATAAATTCGATTACTACGGAGTCCTATGCATTGGTATCCAAAACACTGGGGCATGCCAGCCACAGTGCTCATTGCAAACATCTAAGTGCATCCACAAACCCTGTTAAAAAAGAACAACAAAACAAAAAACAGAAGAATGAGTCAGTTCATTTTAAAGCCAGGCAATTTTACATCATGTATTTAAAAAAACCAAAAAACACACACACAAAAATCAAATACACTTTTATCTGTCACAATGACTTCCTTAGTTTTATTTTACACAAGCAAAAGGAAAACATTAAATCTTCTTTGTAAGTTCCTAACTTCAAATAAACTTATTTTAAGAGAGTGTACGAGAGATCTTACGTCCTGAACTTAAGAATATTATGAACTTACAAAAATATTATTTCAATTGGTGATTAAAAATAATCATTCATCATCTTCAGTGAGGTGACAAAGATTTATAGCAGACTTACTGAATGCCAACTACATTTGCTCACTGCTCTATATTGCCAGAGCCCAGTTGGTGCAATTTTCAATAGAAACCTGATTATAGAATTTTTCAAGTATTTCTTAAAGACCATTGCACACTTTTGTTTTCCACTTTAACTAAAAACAAATTTCCATGTCCATGATACAAACTAAGGCTGTCAAAGGAAACAATACCATAACTTCCATTCTGTATTTTTTAAACCAAAATCATTTTAATGATTCACAATAATGATAAGAAACAACTTTGATTTCATTTTAATAGATCGCCATCAGAAGATATTATACCCATTGGATCCCACTTTAAAAAACACACACCACCAAATCTTCTAAGTAGCAAACCAAAAAGAATCAGTAATAGTTTTTAATTGTAAAGCAAAGCTACAATCTACTTGATTTGCACAAGTCAATACAACAGTCCTACCTGTGTGCCAGTTATCACTAGTCTCCCACTCCTCTTTCCAAGCAGGGAAGAACACCCAACCAAGTACAGGAGAGGAAATGCATGTAGCACCTCAGCTGTCTCCATTCACAGATAAGTAAACTAGTGCACTTTTACACCCCAGTAAAGGCAAGGTTTTCCACAAGTGAATTGAAGCAAACAAACTGAAGCAAAATACCTCCACCTGCAATACCTGCAAAATGAATAACTGCAAACTCCTTCCAAAATGTCAAAATTGCAAGAACACAGACCACTTTGCAATGAAGCACACAGAGTGCCTAATATATACCACCCTGCCATCTGACACAGTGTAGTACCTTAGTTGAAGTCCACAAAAGCCCAACAGTTTTCAGATCAACATATTTCAACAGACTCACCCTTGCCAAGAAAAAATTAACAAGCCTACAGTGAAAAATTGAGTACTTCTTTAAAAGACTTCAGAAAGCATTGTGGACTTAAATCTGTATTTTCTCCTTTTATTTATGACATCAGTATCTTCAGGGTAAGTCACACTTACAGGACATCTCTTAAGGTACACACTGGCACTGAGTCTTCCTCTAACTTAAATTTTATCTTACTGCTGAAGTTTGGCAATTAACATCAAACACCTCAGTATACTTTTAAGTGCCTAAACCTTCTACAGTTCATTCGCCCTCTAGACAGCAGAAGTCGTATTTTGGTCCCACTGCATAGGTCACCAAATACAATGAAGTAGAAAGCAACTCGACCAACAAGCCGTTGGGATATCTTGCTTTTCTCATTTAAATACTGATCATTTTCTTATCAAATACTAGAAGTGTCAAAGTGTATCAGTAGCTATGCATAAAATTAAGGAAACAACATACTATTTTCAAGAATAAGCAGCAAGAAAAACCTGTTAAACCAAAAGCAGGTATAGAACATTTTTAGAAGCAGACGCAAGAGAAACCCCAACCCCCTCTTAAGAGTTTAAGTGAACACTCATTCTGCCACCATATAGTTGACTCTATTCATAGGGTAGAGACCTGAACGGCCTCATCTACAACTTGCAGAACTTCAGCTTACCATTTAGTTCTCTTCTGAAAAAGTAAAAAAGTTTGTGTTAGTTCCTACCCAGTAACTGGAAGGAAACCATCAACATTTTTAGTCCAGGTAAATTGGCTATCACAGGTTAAGGGTTGTTGCACTACCAACTATGCTAACAAATCATTAGCATGGTAGAGATTTGATTTAATTCTTGTAATTATAGAATTCTAAAAAAAGTTTTAGTTTGTTTCAAAGTAGGTCTAAAAGACATACTGGACACCACTGCCTGGGATCAAGATCCTCACTTAGAGACATTTCTTGCACTTAAAATTACTTTGGTTGGTGCTGTGGTTTTTCCTAACTGAATTTTCTTTAAACACTTCTGACCAGGTAGAGTAACAACCAGAAATTAACGTAGGCAAAAACACCCGGAAGACTGATGGAAGTGAAGAACCTGCCTTAGACAGCTGCCTCATGGGTGATTACACCTGCAAACTTACACAAAACAATTGCAGGTGCCCAAGCATCATATATTCAAGTGGCCTTTACTGTCAAACACAGAAAGAAGAGATGCAGTTACCAAACCTTAGAATCAAGTGAAATTCAGGGCTTTTTTTTTTTTTTTTTTTTTAAAGTAACACAGAAAAAGAGGAGAGAGCTATGTGTATGTTTTTAGAGCTATGTATAGACAATCAATCTCTAATGCATGGCCCAATTAATGCCAACATCCACGACCAAGCAAATACATCACCACTCTTATAAGGAAAAAAAAAGGGGGGGGAGGAATGGGGTAGATGGGAACAAAGCCAAGATAAAGTTCTTTCCCTACTACAAGGATTGAAATACATCTTTAAATCTTAGTCAGAATACACTCAAAAATTCCAAGAGACTAATCTACACTGAATAAAATCAGAGACTTTTGGAACATAAATTTATTTTGCCAAACAGCATGAAATAGAAGTTGTTTTGTCTAAAGGGAAGTAGACTATGATTGTAATACTACCTCATTATTTTTTACCACCTTAAGATTTCATGTCTTCACCACACACACATAAAGCCCTCCAATGCTCTTCCTCTGCCTATAGTTAAGCATGGAAAAATGGAGGCAGTCACTGGCTTGCAATACCTACGCAGACAAGTTAATTCAAACATAGCTCATTATTTATAAGTAACCATCCTCAACAAATTCCTGTAAGGGAGGGAGGGGGGAGGGGTGATGACAGGAATGACCCAGGATAAATTCATTACACAATGCCCACTCATTAACAGAAGTGTGACCTTACAGGCCATCCAATGGTGAACACTAGACTGGTATCGGATTTGAGATGAAGGAAAATTATTATTTTCTGTCATGTCCAAACCAAAAGTATTGTCATGACACACTAAAATATTCCTAGTATTCCTACTGGATTATACTACAAGAATTGGGAACTTCAGAACAGAAAATAATATAACCACTGGGAAACTTTCTTCCTTACTCATCTTAAAAGTGACTGCTTATCCTTTGAAGCTAGGTATTTTAGATGAGTCATAAATTACTGTCTGCCATCATAATATGGTACTTTTACCCATCTATTTCAAGTCATTCTTTCAGAACTCTGACAATCTGTCACTCATGGCCTTCTAAGAAACTGTTTTCTTAGGTGCATTTCATTTAAATAATCGGCCAGGAGTAGAAAGAAGGGTGCTAAAGTCTTCCTACAATCCAAGCAGATTATACACAACTTAGTGTTTTAAGAAAGTCTTCCTTCAAGCAGTATGTGAACTTGAAAATTAGAAAGACCACGCTGGTTTGGTCCACTTAAGTGGACAAAGTCTAGTATAGTTAAAAGGCACTACATAAAAACTGCTGGTCCAAAGTTCAATAATCAGCTCTTCATTTGGCGAAGTAGCTCATCTACTATACCTTAATCTCAACAGCAGAGGACCTCCAATTTTGTTAGGAGCCACTCTCATTCTTTTCGTGATAACACACTGTAAGCTTTGAAAGAATTTTGGCAATTTCTTAGACTCATCAGATTTTCTTCATTACCACTCCACCAGCACAGCTTTATTATGTGAAAACATATTCCCTATTTGAAAAAAAATTTGCTTTTATTTACTTGCAGTTAAAGAGTTTATCTGGTCCTAAGGGTACAGTTTTCATCTTTAAAAACCATAAAAATTTTTGTTCAATCCGGTTAAAGCATTTATCTTGAGCAAGATCAACTTGTTCCAATTTATCACACTTTACCACTCAATCACACTGGTTTACATTTTCTATGGCAGCTCTTTCTCTGTCCCGAGAACACACAGGCACTTTTTGACTTAATAGACGACATATTAAGTATAAAATATTTGAAGCCTCACCATACTTCTCATGATCCACTTTGTCTATGACACCAGAACCTTTTTTTTTTTAATAACTGTGCTCTAACAACAGTATACTCAAATTATTAATCTGTGTGGCTTTATACAAAGAACATCATTTATGCATTAAACAACAGAAAATAAGTTACACATTATCCCTGAGGTATTCCACTTACACAACATTATTCTGTGGTCTAACGAAGACCACATGTTTCCTTTCTGCCATGTCCTTTTAAGATCAATTGTGTGACAGCAGAAAAAAAAAAAAACCAAACTTTTTCACTGGTATACGGAAAAGGCAAAAAAATAAAACTAACCACAAACATAGAGGGCTCAACTCTTGAATCAGAAGGTAAACGGATAATCTCCTGAAATTACATCAGTATTTTTGAACCTAATCCTACAGGGCCCAAACATTCAAAACCAAGTCCATGATCAGATGTTGGCAGAACAGAGCTCCAGGCCTACTCTATCAGCATCTCTTTTTTTCCGTCCTTCCACTCGCTTCTTGTAGGACCATCAAAAGCTACATAGAACAGTTTCAGGAAACAAGCAGATGATAGATCACCTAGATAGAAAGTACACTTGAAAAATAAGAACTTGAAGCCTAGCCAAACTGTCCAGATGACTCTAACAAGGTTTCATAATCCTAGCTATCAATCACCCCCTCTAAGTGTCAAGAGCTCAGAAATTCTTCCACAGCCATTCTCCGTGTAAGTTTTTTTGGTTGGTGGTTGTTTTGTTTTGGTTTTTTTTCCTCTAAGAAGGTAGGAAAATTATTTTTTAAAAAAACATTTAAGTACTTTTACTTGCATTTAGTGTATAAACTCAGAAAC